TTGAGACAGAGTTTCGCTCTTGTTACCCGGGCTGGAGTGCAATGGCGCCATCTCGGCTCACCGCAGCCTCCGCCTCCTGGGTTCAGGCAATTCTCCTGCCTCACCTCCCGAGTAGCTGGGATTACAGGCACGTGCCACCATGCCCAGCTGATTTTTTTGTATTTTTAGTAGAGACGGGGTTTCACCGTGTTGACCAGGATGGTCTCGATCTCTTGACCTCGTGATCCACCCGCCTCGGCCTCCCAAAGTGCTGGGATTACAGTCTTGAGCCACCGCGCCCGGCCAAAACTCAAGTCTTAAAAAAAAAAAAAAAAGACTCTTTGACAAAAGGCTCATTGAGTGACAGGTCTGTTTTTCTTTATTTTTGTCTCATTGAACAAGCATCTTCGTTTATCTTTTTATTTTTTTAATTTTTTTTTTTCATATTGAGACAGGATCTCACTCTGTCACCCAGGCTGGAGTGCCGTGGCACATGGCTCATTAAAGCCTCAAATTCCTGGGCTGAAGTGATCCTCCTGCCTCAGTCTCCCAAGTAGCTGGGACTATAGGTGTGTGCCACCATGCCCGGCTAATTTAAAAATTTTGTTATAGAGGCAGGATCTTCCCATGTTGTTGGGCTGATCTCAAATTCCTGGCCTGATCTCAAACTCCTGGCCTCAAGTAGTCCTCTTGCCTCAGCCTCCCAGAGCGCTGGGATTGCAGGTGTGAACCCACCACGCCCAACACGCTTACGTTTATAACAGATTATTCATAATTACTGTAGGCATTTGAGCAGTTATCAAAAGTAATTGTTTTGAATTTCTGCAAAGTGTTTCTTAGGTGTTGAAGAAAACCCAAAGCAATGTAATTTGCAAGTGAGTAGCCTAGTCTCTGTTCACACCTTGCTTATTTGGGACTCTTTTAGGGTTCTGACATAGAAGAGCTTACCCCTCCAGAGCATCTTTCTGATCTTCCACCGTTTTCAAGGTGTTTAATAGGAATAATAATAAAGTCTTCGAATGTGGTCAGGTAATCAATTTCTGTTTACTGCCCTGAAACGCTCATCACAGCTGTAAGCTCCAGCAGCATTCTTTCTGTTCCTTTTACTCTCAAGTTTTAAAGCTACATTTTTTACTGTGAGAAAATGTTTCATAAAATTTTCTCTCCATTTTATCAGTAATTAGAAATATTTACATTAAACTTGCACAAAGAAAAATTCTAACTTTCTGTAAGGAATATTCATCTAAATAGTCTCTGGTTAGTTATGCTTCTCATAACTAAAATTCTGTTAAGGGAGGACATAGAATGTTAATGTTTAGTAAAATACTTCTTACCAAGTGTGCTTTCAAAACACTTGACAAGGTTAAATACCGGTGCCATTTTCATTGAACACGCAGCTGCTACTCATTTTCCAGTCCATATGTCACTTGATGAGAGTTGCAGGGTTTGCTGTGTCGCATGCAGGGTTGACAGGTTACAGAGAGAACTGCTTTGCAGATGTCTGGTACCTGTCGAATTTTAATAGCAGACACATTCAATGAAAACTTTTAAAAGCACCATCTTTAGCACCTATGAGTCATCTTTC